TGTTGGTGGTGTATGTAGATGATATTGTTATTACTGGGAATGATAACATTGGTATTGACAGGCTGAAGACTTATCTGCAGAATCACTTTCAGACAAAGGATCTGGGTAAACTGAAATACTTCTTGGGGATAGAGGTARCGAGATCCAAGTATGGGATTAACCTGTGCCAGAGGAAGTATGTGCTTGATTTGCTGGAAGAAACAGGCTTGTTGGGTGCCAAACCAGCTGAAACACCCATGGACACAAATGCCAAGCTAAGCAGTGATATGGGTGAAGTGTTTGAAGACCCTGGCAGATACCGACGACTTGTGGGCAAACTGAACTACCTAACCATTACCAGACCAGACATCTCATTTGCAGTTAGTGTGGTAAGCCAGTTCATGCAAAAACCTCTGATTCCTCATTGGAATGCGGTTCTGAGAATTGTGAAGCATCTAAAAGGGGCCCCGGGTCGAGGTCTGATATACAAGAGTGGGGGAAAACTTGAAATAGAAGGGTATTCTGATGCTGATTGGGCCGGTTCTATGTCTGATAGGCGGTCTACTACAAGCTATTGCACGTTTCTGGGAGGTAACCTGGTGACGTCGAAAAGTAAGAAGCGGACGGTTGTGGCAAGAAGCAGTGCAGAAGCAGAATATAGGGCTATGGCGCATACCGCTTGTGAATTAGTRTGGCTAAGGAACCTTCTACAGGAAGTAGGGTACAACATTAACACTCCAATGAAGCTTGTGATAATCAGGCTGCAGTTCATATCTCCTCTAATCCAGTGTTTCATGAAAGAAGCAAGCACATTGAGGTTGACTGTCACTTTGTGAGGGAGAAGGTGCTGAATGGAGAGCTAGACACTACACGTGTTAATACAGGAAATCAATGGGCTGACTTATTTACAAAAGGCTTGAGTCGGGGAAGAGTGGACTACATATGTAACAAGCTGGGAGTATATGATGAGTGTTAGCGTAGGGGTATTTTTGTCTTTATACCTTGATTGATGTTGTTGATCTGTAATGTTGTGTTGGAACATGTGCTCTTAACTTAAGTAAGGGCACATAGGTCTTTTCAGTTATGTTTTAATAATAGTATAAATACTTATTGGCCGACTGGGAGAAGTCAAGTTGACTCTTTCAGTTCGAACCAGAATTCTCTCTTCTCTCTTTCTCTCTTTCTCTCTTTCTGTATCACTTTTTCTTCTTCTACATAACTGAACTCAATCAGGCCGAACTCTAAGGCAGACCTGAATTCTAACAATCCCAAAGTGTATCAAAGGCAGAGATCGAGCAAGTAGTTTCCCTTACAACAGATGAGGCTCATACATTCCCAATCACAGATGACCTGCTTTAGGAAAGCTTCAGCTCTTTTGGAATCATCCTTCCCAGACCTTGATGTCCCCATTGCTATTAGGAAAGGGAAGCAGAAGTGACTACACATTGCATTTCCAAACACCTTTCTTATGACCTGCTTTCTCCTTCATACTTTGCCTACCTCTCTACTGTTGCTTCTAACCCCATTCCTAGGTCTGTCTCAGAAGCTCTTGGGATTCCAGAATGGAGAGATGCCATGAAGACTGAAATTGATGCTCTACATGCAAATGGTACTTGGGAGGTGGTAGATTTGCCTGAAGGGAAGAATCCAGTTGGGTACAAGTGGGTCTTTACCATTAAATACAGGGCTGATGGAACTATTGAGAGGTACAAGGCCAGACTTGTTGCAAAAGGCTACACACAGACATATGGGATTGACTACCTGGAGACTTTT